TGCCTGCTGTCACAGACCCACATGGTTTCTGGCAGTGTTGGAGAAGAGACTGAGGATGGGTGGCTGATGCTGGTGCTTTGATCACTGACACTTCTCAAGGGGATGCTGTGCTGTGCAGAAGTCTCGGTGCAGAGCCATTCCCTCTGTCTCCAACTTCCTGGCATCACGTTCTCACTCCAGAGACCAACTCCCAGCAAAGCTGCCACACCCAGGCTGGAAACCTTGTCTTTCTGCATGTCCCAAACCTGGGGCAGCCAAGAGAACTGCTGTGAGGTACTTACACCCCACCCTGTTTCTTCCCCTGGGTGAGCTGAGGCAGCAGCTCCCCCTGTGCAGCGAAGGTGTGGGTGTGCTCTGGGGAGATGTGCTGGGGGTCAGGGGGAGCTTGTGTTCCTGTCCTGGAGAACTGCATTAGACTGGCAGAGCTGGGACACCATTCTGCTAAAAAGACAGGATTTGCCTACAGGCTCCCTAGCAATGGAAAGAGCATTTTATTCTTGCTGTGTAGTCAGCTGGGCTGGCACTGCTGCTCCCTGAGCTCTCCCAAACCCCCAGGGACAGCATTCAAAGGGGACACTCCAGGGCCTGCTGGTTCCAGGATGGTCATTCCTTCACCTTTCCCTTTAGGAGGTGGCTGTCCCTGTGGTGGGAAATCCCAGGTGGGATTTCATGCACAGAGCAGAGCCACAGCAGGAATGATTCTGTTCCTTCCTCATTTTGTGAAAGAACTCTGGTCACTGGAATAATTTTGTAGGATCTCCAGAGGTTCTAAGACAGGAATCTTAATGCTGGATTTGAAAGCACTGTCTGTATATTTCCTAGTTTTGGTGTTTTTCATTCAGGCCTGCAAATGAACCTTTTACATATCTCTGGACGTTCCTTGTGCTTTTGGATATAAGAGTGAATATCATTAAATGGGTTTATCATACAGATTTAATATTTGAATACATAACTATACAGTTTGGATAATAACTATCTTTCTATAATACCTGATATGTATTGGCAACCTGGATAACTGTTTTTGCTTTTACCTATGTCTACAATCAATTCCTTCAGAGACAAATCCCAGAAGTGCTAGGAGGAGGTAGAGGAGGTACCAATATGAAGGAAAGGAAGGCAGTTTGGGTAGAAACATTTTTCTGCCTTTTTATTTATCTGACACTTTTAGGCCCTCTTCATTCAAGTATTTGAAACAGTGACTGAGGTTCATGACTGCTGATTAATAATGATTTATATTTATTGTCAATACTTTCTAGAGATAAACTTGACTTAACCAACCAAACATAGCTGATCAAAACCTAGAAACACTTGGCGAAGAAAATCCTGTGTTTCTCTCAGAAACAAACATCTAAAGCAACAAAGCCAACAGCAAAGTTTGTTTCTGATCAGAAAGGTGTGTTAAATGCTGAGCCTGCCAGTGGCTGAAGTCACAGAGCTCCATTCCTGCCTGGACTTTGCTCCTGTGACTTCACCCCTTTGTCCTGGACAAGAGCAGGATTCTCCAGGCACGGCCCTCTCATTGTGGGAAGAGCTGCAGTTCTGCTTCTGAGCCTTTGCTCTTGCTCAGGAAATTCAGTGTTGGGGGAGTAAGCAGGTTCAATCCCTGGCTCACATGAATTCTCTATAGCTGAGGAGTCCACTGAGAAGTCTCCTTCCTGTCATACCTCCCAAAAGCCTGGGACAGCTCCACTCTCTTTCCATAGTCACTATAAAATTGAACCATGGCCACAGTTTGGTTTGGTTATTTTCCTGGCTAATGCCTACCTGGCATTTTGTTAATATTATCTTCTTTGTCAGTAGAACATTTCACAGTCTGAGCCCTACAGTAATTAAAGAGAAGAGCCCTGGTGGAGAGGCCCAGAATGTTGGGCCTGATGAACTGTATCAGTAAAGCCAAAGTAAAAAACCACATAGTCTAAAACCTTAATTTTAAGAGATATAAGTGCCCATTTGGAAATGAGTGCAATACTCAGCCTGCTCTGAACTGTTTGCTACAACATTTCTGTTACAGAGCTCCAGAACCTGAAGCCAATGCAGTAAAAGCTGTCCTGCCATGGAGGAGTGGGAGGGAGAGTGGCAGGGAAAAATCCCAGTTAGGGACCAAGGATCATGAAAGCAGAGAATAGGTAGGAAATAATGGTTTTCATGTATGAATTCCAAACTAAGCACAGACTGGCTACATATATAATGAAGTGCTATGAAATGTCATTTTGTGCATCATGTAAACCCAACATTACTCTCAACATCACTGTGAGTATTTTCTCACCAAGTCTTCAGGCAGTTCACTAACAAATGAGGAGGCTGCCACATGTAGCATTTACACTTTGCAGTTATTTTTGTACTGCTATTACGTGTTTTCCATGACTTAGGTGGTGCCAGTTTGTCATCTAGTAGGTAGCCAGAGGCTGAACAATTTTAATCAGCAGCTGCTAATTTGGCACTCACTCTTCAGCCCAATTTTAACAGGTTTTTTGAGGAGTTTAAGGGTAACCAGGCAGCCTGAGAGACAACACTTGGCACTGACTTGGTTTTGCACTGTCTTCACTTTTACCAACCAAAATGCTCCCAGTTACCAAAGTTTTCTTAGGGGTAGATCCTACAAATGCCTGGTGTTGACAGAAGCTGGTCTTGACTCTGACTAATTTCTCCAAGTTGGTAGGTTGTGACAGCAAGTATTTAAAATCTTGTTATTTCTAGTATGTGAATGATAGTAGCTCTCTCACTTTGTTGTTCTTTTATGCACAGTCCAGAGTAAATAAGGGAACTTCTTGTCTGTTCTTTCTTTAAACCTTACACATAATTTTATGTTTTCTCATCCATTATGGGCATCTTTGATTGAACATGGTTACAAAGTCATGGTCTAGTTACAACATGGCTTTTCTTGAGCTGCAGCACTTGCTCCAAGAGGGACCTTGAGGATTTTAATTGGTGTGTGTCTATTTTTGTCATTATTTCTTCCATCTAAGACATTGAACATGCTACTCTGTTTCCCTGCATTCACATGGTTTTCTGCCAAAATAGGACCAGTGACACAAGGATAATTGGCTCCTTCAATGCTGTATTTCCTTTTCAAAAAGCCTTCATGTAATAACTACAAAAGGAGAGTAGAAGCAAGTCAAATGTCAGGAATTGTTTTATTTCAGTGACTGGAAGTAATTTTTAGCCACATTTTTTTCACTAGTGGGTGCCAAAATGATATAAATTTTGATTGATGTCAGTGTGCTCCATTTGTAAATCAGTTTTAGCAGCTATGTGCTAATCTGTTGTTATGGGAGAAAATGCTGAAAAAGAGCATTTTAATTTTTTTAAAAAATGAAATATTTAAGTACTTGTACCTGACACAAAATTTATGTCCTCAATTTCAGACAATTCTGTAATTTCTATGAATTTTGTCTTTATAAATATTACAAGGTTAAGCACATTTCTGTTAACTCAGTTGTTTCCTTAGTCAGGAAGCTATTTCCTTTTTAATGGGTTGATGTGTATCTGGTAGAGGACTTTTAAAAATTATATTCCTACAGCTGTATATGACTGCAAGGCATGCCATTAGTGCAGTATAAAAAAGCATAAGAAAAGGAGATTACTTACGGAGATTGGAATAATTACTGCCTATTCCAATACCAGTGGAGCTTCCAGAGATGAGAGGAAGGTGGAAGAAAAGAACTAGGGAAGGAAAAAATAAGAGAAAAGTCCTTCACCGCAATTTGGGGTTCTTTTGCAACCAGATGTCTGTTGGAGACACGCTGTGTTAATGTGCCCCTGCTCTCTCTGGGCAGGATTGCACATTTCAGATTCTGAGTGTACACAGAGATGTAGCTCAAACAGAGGGGAAACACCAAACCAGTCATTGCTTCCTACTCCAGGAATCACTCCAGTTCAGGAAACGGTGTGAATACCTCTTAGATTCAAAACCCCACATATAAACAACACTGTGTTATATAAATATGTTCATTATTGTTTTTAAGTCAATCACCAGTCCCTGAAACAGGCACCTACCACTGTTAAACCAAATAATTCCCCTAATTTAAGTGCAGCTTAAATGCATCAGGTTGGTGTGTGTCGAACTGGACTGGAATAAATTTATTGTAAAATTTGATACCAACACTCCCCCTCTGCATTCCAGCTTTAATATTTATAACTTGCACTTAAAAGATTTATACTTAGAGGCAACAAAATGCACATGAGTAAAACGTGTCCTAAATAACAGAAATCTTTGGATTTCTCAGAAGATGGGCTCGTTTGCATTGCAAAGCTGAGTTCCGGCAGTGACTCGGGTGTGACCCAGCCCTTGTCCGGGGCTGGGCTGTGGCTCCCGGGCTGAGCCCTGTCCCCTGTGCTTGTGCCACGGGGGTGTCCCGGCTCCTGCCCCTCCGGCTGCCCCGCCACCCCCGGCTCTGGGGCACGGCCGGGGAAGGGGCTTCTCCCTTTTCGGGAGGAGTTCCCGACTAACAAACTTTCTGCGGCCGGGCAGGGTCCTGTGGGGTGCGAGACCTGCCCCGCCGGACCCGCAGCTCCCGCGGCTCCTCCTGCCTTACCCGGCTCGGCTCTGCTTTACCCCAGCACGGTTCAGCCCCTTCCTTACCCCAGCACGGCCGCTGCCTTTTCCTGGCACGGTTCATTCCCTTCCTTTCTCCAGCTGGGTTCAGCCCCTGCCTTACTCCAGTCCTGTTCCTTCCTTTCTTACCCTACCCGTGTTCAGCCCTTTCCTTTACCCCAGTCAGGTTCATTCCCTTGCTTTCTCTATGCCGGTTCATCCCCTTTTCTCACTCCAGTCCGTTTCATTCCCGTCCTCTCCCCATCCAGATTCATCCCCGTCTTTACTCTATCCCTATTCATTCTCTGCCTTTCCTCATCCCGGTTTATCCCCATCCTCCCCCATCCCAGTCTATCCCGTTATCCCCCCATCCCTGTGCATCCCTGTTCCCCCCATCCCTGTCCATGCCATCCGCACCCCATCCCTGTTCCCCCCATCCCTGTCCATGCCATCCGCACCCCATCACCTGTCATGGCCATCGCAGCCCCATCCCCGTTCCCCCCCATCCCTGTCCCATGCCATCCGCACCCCATCCCTGTCCATGCCCCCCTCCCCCGGCCGTGTCTGCCGCTCCTTATCCGAGCCGCCGCCGTGCCCCGCTCTCCTCCATGCGCCCCCGCCGCGCTTCCCTCCGTGCCCTGCGCCCGCCGCGGCCGGACGGGGCGTGCCGGGGGGCGCGCTCCGTGACCCCGCCGGGCGGGCAGGGCCGGGCACGGGGGGAGTGGGGCCCGGCCCGGGGGGGCTCGGGGCCGCCACATGCCGGGGGGCCCGGGGTCGATCCTCTTCCGTCACCCTCTGCTCTGCCGCGCATCCCGTCGAGTGGCGGGCCCGGCAGCGGGAGCGAGGGGAGCGGGGAATGCCTGCGGGGCTCGGGAACGGGGAATGCTGCGGGCTCGGGAAGCGGGAGGATGCCTGCGGGGCCGGGGATCTGCGGGCTCGGGGATGCTTGCGGGGCTCGGGAGCGGGGATGCGCGGGGCCGGGGATGCCTGCGGGCGGGGATGCTGCGGGGCTCGGGGATGCTGCGGGGGTTCCGCCGCCCGGAAAAGGAGCCGTAGGCGGATAACGGCGCTGGAAAGCCGAGTCCAGCCCAGCACTCGGACTGAAAGGGAGGGACTGCCTGGAGCAAACCCGCGGGGATGGACGGGATTAGCTGGCAGTGCAGAGGCAGGGAATCCGTGGGGCCGGATAGGGATAGGAGAACAATGTAGTCTAGAGTCGAGCTAAGAGCGCTTTAAAATGGTAAGATCTGCTTGTTACCAGGGATCTTGGAAACGTTTCCCACTGTGGATGATATATGCCCTAGTGCTAGAGAGAGAGGAAACAGGGCTGCAGCCGGTACCAAAGCCGAGGAGCTTCCATAATTGTGTGTTTACCTGTAAGAATAGGGTGTCATTAGCTTTTTGAGGTAAACAATGCAATGGTGTGGTCTGTCAGCAGTTTGGGGTTTTTTAGGATCCGAGTTCCATTGGCAGTTTCTGTCTGTCGGGCACACGCTGGACCTGCAGGATCTCGCAGAGTGGTGGCGCTGATCCTGCTGGTGAGTGAGGGACATGGACGTGGAGCTTCACGAGTGCGGGGTGTGTACCCAGACTTCTTTGCTTCCCTAGCCCGAGGTGGCTTTGTAGTCCAGAGAGCAAGTTCCCTCACGTAGGAACAGCTCTGAGCTGTTAACTTCTCTTTGGTTTAGTGGTGATGGATTCGGGGCTATGCTGGACTTTGGGGTGGATGTAAAGCTTGTGAACTCTCTGGTCTTTCTGTAAAAAGTTTCCTGCTGTCATCGATCACCTTTTTTTTTTTAAATTTTTTTCTTTTCTTTTTAAGTCTAGGGAAGCATTAAGTGAGTACAAGGTAATTGAAATCAAGGTTTAGGGAATGTTACAGGTGTGTTTCCTCATGGCTCCTCTGGACAAAACTGTAGTACCCAAGTACCCTAAAAGGCCTTAAGATGCTGCTGCAGAAGTTATCTTCTGATTCACTTTTTCACCTCCTCAGAACATTCAACTCCTTGAAAGACCTTTTCATTGCAATTCTTTATTTAATAAATGGAAACTGCATGGCTTCATTTTAGGGCTCTTTGTTGTTTAGCCATGATATGAAGGTGTGAATCTGCATATGCAGCAGATAAGCTGATTTCCTGTATGCTGGATTTTGCATATGTGCCCTCTTGGCCTCATTCTGCATCTGAAGAACCATGTGCACGTGTAATGCTGCACTCAAGGATAATAAAACACATTCTCCACTTTAAATTTCAGGAATTTCTAATGTTTAGCCCTTCTGCAAATTTTGGTGATAACATCTTTCCCCATTGGCACCCTGCATTTGCTCATGATACTGGTATTAACTTTAGTCCTGGCATAAAACCTTGGGGTTTTATATTTGACTGAAAACAAACTGTGGGAAATGTAGAGGTCTTAGTACCTAACTTTGGATGCAGGGGAACTGCTCAGAGTTTGGCAGATCTGCAGAAATCTCTCTCTCAGTCTGGCTTTAGAGCCCTTTCTGTGATAGTCTTGTCCTTTTTCTGTTGGAGGAGTTGCAACTGCTTCTGAGACAGAACATTTGTTCTGGGTCAGAAACCACAGTGGACACATGATCCATCAGAGCCTGCAGAAACATCATCCCAGTTATCAGAAACCTTTTGGACACTCACCAGTACTCGGTGTGCTCCTCTGGAATACACTCGACTGTTGCAAACTTTGCTCACCCCACTGATTTCCAAATCTGCATCACATTCATATGGACATGGGGTAGGTTTTTACCCCTTTTTCCTTTCTGTTTTTTCGGCTTTTGGGGTTCCCCTTTTTCTCCTCAATAGCACCTGACTGGCACTTGGATGTGGTGTGGGATTCAGGGCAGACTGTTATTTGCACACTCTGCAGTTCCTGCTGGCAGGGTGATGCTGTGGACAGATTACATCATTGTTGGTTTCTTCTTGTGGCATCTGCTTTTCTGTTTCGATAAAATAAATTTATATTAAAGAAAGTTCTCCACAAATAAATTATTTATACATTGGAGTTTGGTTATGGGCTGTATTTGGGAGAGCTGGAACAAAGATGACCACTATCCAGGATTATTGCTGCTTTTAGTTTAGCTTGACTTAGAACATCACAGAGCAAGAGAGACCAAGGTAATATCTGTCTCTGTGGTTCGTGGCCTGTGTGTCCCATCTGAATTCTGCCCCTTCTCAAGAAAGTTCTTTCCTAATCTGTAGGAATGAGGAGTGTGCCCTGTGGAAATAAAGTACATTAGGTAAAGTTTGGAATGGTATTCCTTATAGATGGAACTGGACAGAGTTGCTGTAGCCAGTGAGTGTTTCCCAATTTACTGACAAGGGAAAATGAGCAAGGAACCCTTGCTGAAGACAGATAGTTCTATTCTTGGATGAGTTTACACTTGCCCCAAGCTTGGGACCTCATTATAAAGCTGCCATTGGTGCTGAAGTGACAGATCTCGGCTCAGGCCCCATCTCCTGTGGCTTCGTTCGGGATTCTTGGAGCTGAAGGGATGCTGCAGTGTGGTGGCTCTTGGTGACAGCCAATTTTTGTAAGGCAAAATAAATTCTATTGCTATAACGAGGTCTCCTTTCGACTGAGAATTTTATGTATTCATAACAAGGCTTTGGGGGATGCTGTTTTCACTTCCTTCTTTTTCTTTATGGAAAAGGTGGCAATGAAATCACAGTCATTTGGATTACACAATTAGTCATAGATAAAATGCCTCAGGACGAGCAAAATTGATTAATAAGTGTTTTTTATATGGAAAATCAAGTAGCAGTGATTTTCCTCAGTGCTGGCTGCTGCAGGAGTCCCATCACCAAATGGATTCAGATCTCTCTGTCACTTGGCCAGGGCTTGCCCAGCAGTGCCAGCAGAGCTGGGCATTCCCAGTGCTGGGACAGCTCATCACACCCGGGCTGAGGAAATTCCTTGCTGGGAGCTCCCACTGTGTGATGGACCAGGCTGAGCAAATCTGTGCTTGCTGCTGGAAACGAAAGAGGTCAGGAAAAGAGGGTCTGGAATTTGACAGGAAGCACCCCATCCTTTCGCAGCTCCCTGAGTTCTGAAATGTAATAAACTGAATCCTTTGAAAGAAGAGATTTCAAATTTTCTGAAAAAACCAACCAGACAGATATTTGCCAGATACTATAGATTTTTTGACTTTGAACATATTGTATAATTGCTAACAAAGGAAATTCCTCTGTGCTGAAAGCTATTTTAATGAAAATAGTGGAATTAAAAATACATAAAATTACTGCCTAACATTTTTCAGCTAGCGTTTATAGGACAGGTAAATTTATTTGAACAATATTTTCTAGAGTTTTAAATCAAGTGTTTTACTTCTTTAGGCATAAAATCTGTCAAGAGGAAAAATAATTTTAAATTACTAATACAGATGAAGGATATCAGTAACAAATATTTTACAGCAGCATGAAAGCCCAAAGGCAGAAGTCGTGTTCTTTTACATGCTATGGAAAGAAATGAGACCTGGACTGAAGGGGCTCTTCATTCTGTTCCCATAGTTCCTATGTCAAAAAAGGATTCTGTAGGAATTTTATGTCCTGCCCAAATTGTCAGAGGCTGTTTTTCTGCTTTTGAAAGTTGACAACTGTCTTTTTCTGTGGAACAAAAGGTGCTCTCAGGCTCTGGGGCCAGAATTAATTTCTTGTTTATTCACCTCTTGCAGAGGTTTGAGGAGAATGGAGAGTTATGCTGTCATTGCCTGATGTATATATATATATTTTAATCTCTACATATGCCCTAAGAAATAGGGTCCAAGATTGTTATTGAAAATCCAGTTATATCTCCCCTGTCTGACTGTGGTTTCAATCTTCCTGATGCCAATTGAGTTAATTTTTAAGGAGGTAGAATGGCAAATTATATCTCAGTGTTCTTTTTCCTCTCATTCTGCGACTCCTTAATTCAATTTATAGTTAATTATGCAATTTATTTTGTGTTGAACTTTCAAGGACCTTAAAGCATCTTACAGTGAATATAGAGTCTCTCTGTTTATTTCCAAGAATCCTTGAATGAATTTGTTATAAATTCTAATGGGACATTTAGAATTAAGGATGGTCAATGGATTACTAACAAATAATAATATCAATGTCCCTGGAGATACATAACTATAAATATACTGAAATATATAGAAAGAAATACTGAATTATGTAATAAAAAGAATTTAAAATTAGGTAACAGCAGTAATAATACTAAATCTGCATGTCAGAATACTACAAATCTGTAAGTTGTAGGTCCCCTCTTGTTGCCCTTGGTGCTAAAACTCCTGCCTTTGGATGATCAGATCCATTTGTACCCCATCAAATATGAATATTTTGTCATTTGCTCTCCGGAGGGTTTTTAAAAGAGGCTTTTGCTGGGGAGCCCTTGGGGAGGGAAGGGAGCCCTGCAGTGCTGTTAGTGCAGGCAAGGAGGTGAATCCAGCCAGGCTTTTGTTAACCCAGACCAAAAATGCAAATGAGGA